TTCTGAAAATTTTAATTAAGATTCTTCCAAGACATTTTCGAGAAAATGCTCAGATGAAATAAATTTTGGCGATGATAATATGTTGTCCCGACTACCGTTATGTAAGACATAAAAAAGGTCTTAACAGATAGCCACTGTGACGTATATGTTGTTCGTTTTTATTGTGTTTTGAGAACACAATATGTCTAATAGATTGAAACGCATGTAATGCTATTACAAATGTATATATATATATATATATATATATATATATATATATATATATATATATATATATATATATATATATATATATATATATATATATATATATATATATATATATATATATATATAAATTTTAATTGTATGTTCGTCCAGTGTTCGACAGAAAAAAAACTTACAAGTTAAGAGAATTAAACGCTGAGCCCCAAACTTGGCATCAGTGACCTCTTTTAAACTTAGTACTTCTTTGTTAGGATGGGGGTCATTTTTTAACGGGAGTCAATTTCTTATAGTAGAAAACTGACCCCTAGGGTCCTACAAAAAAGGACATTTTTTACGGCTGGGCTGGGGGTCATTTTCCGACGCCCGGTCATTTTTCTATGGGGGTCATTATTCGTCCTTTTTATTCTTTTAATAAGGCTAATTCCTGCAATCCTGTTGTTTATCTAAATGAATAAAAAAGAAGAACACACAAAGAAATACTTTAATTGACATCTTCTTACCTATGTTTTTCGCTTCTTTCATTAACAAATGGAAATGATTAGAATATTTATGAGGAAATGTTCAGAAGAGTTCTTTTAATATAAAGTATAGTTTTGATAAATCATTTTTTATTTATTTTTCAACTGTATGTCTTTAAAGCCACTTGCTCCGATAGTTATGGTTAAAAAATATATCTGGTTGTTTGTAAAAAATAATTCTCCTAGAAAGTTTCCATTTTCGTAAAATTATATTCTCAGAGTCGGTGTCTTTTAAAATATATTAATATATTAAATTTTAAAAAGTTGTTGAGTCACACCAAAAAAAAAATAGAAAGAATGCAAAGCTTGCGCATGTGTAGCGACTTTAAAAACAAATCGCACGATTTAAGTCAAACGAACACATGGTAGTCCAAAATCTCTGACTCTGGGCTTAAAAAAATGAAACCCAAACAGGAAAGAGACCGAAAGTAGTGTATTCATATAGGAAAACACGCAGAGGAGTAAAAGTTGGAATCGCCCTGGATGAACTGCAACTCAAAACGTGATACAAATTATGTCAAACGGTAATTTTACGTGTTTCTCACCTCAGTTTGGAAGTCACGTGGTCTCACTCACTTAAATATCAATAGCGTGTTTGTATTGTCAAGACTAAGATTTCTCTTAAAAATATTGTTGTAAAAAACCAAAAAAGTTGCATGAGCTACATTTACTAAAGTATATATATTCCATGTAAACATGTTCATTTATTGTGTAAGAAAAATATGCATGTTAAAGATCGGTTATACCCGCAAGAAAGTATGATGTAATAATGCGTTTTATATTATATACATACATTTTGCGTTTGATATTTTATCAAATCTCGAGACTAAATCATATGTAACAACATTGACCGGCCACATAGACTGGCCAGATGACTGTATTGCGTGAAAACACAAGTAAACAACGAAAAACCATTGAAGCAATTTTTCAACATCTTGTCTATACATGTAATTAATAACAATACATTTATATCAATTCAACAGAAATATAACTTTGCATTTTTTGGTTTCGTTCACAAACTTTTTCAATGAACTTCATAAGTTATATTTATGGTTTCTCTTGTAGAAAAATATTCTTTACCAAATGCGTTGTCTATTGCTAAGCAAGCGACAGTACTTCCACCAAAGTTGTCAAACGTTGCAGTAACCACTACACGGCTTTCATAACGACAATCACTAGTCACCATGGGTCCCGTAAATATTTCTGTTATGTTTCTCGGAACCATTTCATAAGTTTCATTAAAAAGGATAACAAGTGACAATGTTGTTGTATTAGGATTCATTATTGCAGTGCAGTTGATGGTGTCACCACCCAGTGAAGCATTCAGATAACTAGGTTCGATCTCGATGGACACATCGGTAGGAGGTGCTGAAATGTTATGAGAGTTAATTCAGTTCATTAGACACTGATATAAGGATTACCGTTTAAGCTTAAAATTTTCTAAGATCTTACTTAGGCCTATAGTTTTGAATTAAAATTTTAACGAACAATAGACTGTCTCATATCTCCTCGGAAGTACATGTAATTTTGACAAAATTTACTTGAATTCAAAGCGGAAATAGACTAATGTAAAAAAGATCAATAATATTTCGCTTTTACTGATCCGTTTAATTAATGTCTTTCTGGCATTTCTATTAAATCATTCTCATATTTAACAAATTGTGCGAAAACATCGAAGTTATTTTTGAACAGTGGAAATTTGTGACAGATAAATGTCCTTAGACTTTGAGTTTATGTAGCAATTATTCGGCTTATATAAAATATTCGAGCAAAATTGCATTCTCCGCCGTCTTATGATATCACACCAAACGCATATTTTTGTTCATTTATTTTTATGATGGCAGAGATTATACAGATATCAATCAAACTTTGTCCTCGGAAATCTGAGACAAATTAACGGCTAATACAAGAGTAAATTTCTCACTGATTTTTGAAAACAACTCTACAAATGGAAAATGAATTTATTTATTTACCTGCTATATACAGATAGCCAACGTCATCTGCAGGAAGAATAAGACTCTCGTTGAAGGTATTTACTTTACAAAAGTAAGGGCCAGCTAAGTTGCAAAGGTCATCTCCGGGTCGGAGGTCAAGGGTGAAATTCACTGCTCTGTACTCATCAAACTGATTGCTAGTATATACTGCAGATATTCGATCATTCTGGGGTAGAATAGTATAGTTGTTGTCAGAATTTATTGATATAAGTGGATAAGAAGAATCGTTGAAAAACTGGAATGCAGAGAAATAAGATTGAGAGAGAGGAATTCTGCATTTAAAGGTAGCTGTTGAGTTCAGCTCTCCATATAACTTTTCTGGCTCCATATCAGCTTCGACTGCAAGAGAATGAAAAATATAAGAAATATAATCATATATGATGACTTTCCATTAAGCAAGTTACCTTGATTCAATATACTGGGTATGCTTTGCTATTTTGATAGTTTAGATTTCTAATTTATAACTACATGCATAGGTGACTATAGATACTTAACTATAATTAATCAATATATAATTAATTATTTTTTATTTAAACCTCTACATCAAAATTTTTATGTTCTAATAATTTTTTTTATCTTAACCTATACATCAAAATTTTTATGCTGTCTTAAAACAAACTACCTTGCGTAACATTGATTGACACGCACTTTGTTGACAAAGTTTCGTTGTAGAGGACATCGTTACCGTGACATCGGACATATGATCCATTTCTTGAATCCATCAAAAGTATGTGATAGCTATACAGTACTTGATTTGTACAAAAGGCGTTTTTATCGCTATCCAATTTGAAGACCTCTTGAACCACTTTTTCTGTTGCCTGTATATCCTCATACTTTCCATTTTGACAGACTTCCAAGGAAACTTCTGTGTCATTAAGGTCTCCAAGCTGAACGGTACAGTTAATGGTAACATTGGACCCACTGACGTAGGAATAGTCGGCAGTTATTTCAATTGTAGACAAAGGAGCTAGAAGGGTACAAGAAGACATGAATATTAAGCGTTTAAACTGGGTATAAAGTTACACGTATACACTGTAAGTGTGTATTGGATTAGAAATAGCTAACTATTCCTCTTTTTTCCTTTATTTATTTTAAACCAATTCAAAGCATATAACATTTTCTTGTACATTGTATTATTATGACTGCATGCTAAAGGCTCTCGTGGACCCACTCTTTCTTTTTTATGATAAAAGGTAATGTTCGTAGATCCACTCTTTCTTTTTCTTATAAGACAAGATAATGTTTTTTAATAGAAAATGCATATACTTAGTATCAGGAAGAAATACTATTAAATCATTTTAGTAAATAAATATTTGTCCATAATCAAACATACGTTTCATTTTAATCTCACTATGGAAATCTATAGTTTTAACATCTCGGACTTACCTTGTATCATAAATGAAGTATTGGCACGTATAGTTTGAATTGATGTGTCCGTGAGAGTAATGTCACATGAGTAATTTTTATTTAGTTCACAAGCATTCGAGTCTTTACTTGTATTGAGGAAAACTGTAACATTAACATATTCATCATCAATAATAACTGTGCCTTTGATTTTAGAGTCCTGAGATTCTATCTTGCTATCATTATAGATAGTTAATAATACATTGGATGCTGTTTCGTTGTGTCCTTTTATAAAAACAGATGTCCATGTTAACCGCATGGTTTGTATGAAACAGTTCATTTCTGTAACAGTATCCAACTTAGCAGATATTGATGGAGTCATTTCTGCAATCACTGTAATAAATAATAGGCAACATTACTTACGTGTCAAAAGTGTAGAAAAATAAAAACACATCAGCGAGCACAACTAGTATATATGATAGTGGAAAACATTAAAGCCTAAGGAAATAATTAAAAATACACTGATTGTTGATTAATTATGGCCAAAATAGATATAAAATTCCTTGACGATCATTCATAATATTAGTGATATTTTAACCAGCATCCCGTGTTACTAGCATTAGGACAAGTTCCTGGTAATGAAATTGTTTTTCAGCCAAAATTATTTTGAAATTCTCTCTCTCTCTCTCTCTCTCTCTCTCTCTCTCTCTCGTGGTTAATAAGATATGCTAAATGTATGACTCTCTCCTCTTGGCATTTTATAAAAAAAGAAGTAATATATAACAGTTGAAAAAGCACATGATGTGATGCTATCTAAAATAAAACTCAATTATTCGAATAAAAAAATATGTTTAAAACTACTCCGTAATCAAAACTTAGGAAATACCTAAAACAGGAACGATATTTGGTTTCGTGCAGTTGGAAACCATCGTTGTATTTAAGTCGGAATTGTAAAATCTACATCTGAAGAATACATTAATCTGATTGTCAAAAGGAACAAGATGACTTAGCAAGATTTCATGAGAACAATTTTCGTTTTTCAGACTAGTCTCATTAAAAGCAGATGTTTTCAGAAAATCCTGAATCGGAGTAAAAGTAGAATCAGAATGACAAACTTCCAGGGACAGAGAAGTTGTTGATGGTTCCATTGTCTTTGCGCTACAGTTGATGAAATCATCTGTTCCATATTGATATTGAGGACGAAGGTGGAGAGTTATATCAGAGACGGGAGCTGAAAATGGAAAACAAAATACTATGGAAATACTTAAATTTCTTTGATATAACCAAGGTATGCTAACGAAAACATGGAAAAGAGGTGTGTCCAATTTACCTGAAAAGTTCAAAACTGTGCTCGCGCTTTCTGTAGCGATGTGTTTGTCTACCATATCTATGGAGCATGTGTACATCCCGGACAGAGAGCAAGCATCCTTCGAAGTTGCAAAATCCAAGACAAAGGAAACATTCACGAAATACGAATCTACACTCAAAGACGCATTTATTCGATTTTCATTCGAGGTTTTGCTGCTGTTTGTGACGCTTACGATTGTTTGAGAGATTAAAGATTCGTTTTGAAAGTCTAACCGAACAGCCTCCCATTCAAAACTGCTCACATTGAAATGACACAACAATTCTATCGTTGTTTGTATCATAATGACATGGCTCGAAGTATCCATTACAGCAACCACTGAAAAATACGGATAATATAGGTAAAGAATTTTTGTAGACTTTGAACGTCTTAGACAAAGCATTGCAAGAAACAAAAATCAGCAAAGAAAGCTCTCAAAGAAATAAAACATCTCTTATTACTAGAAAAAGTGATATGGTCGGTAACTCCCCAATTAAACCCATGAAGACAAATTCGAGATAATACCACCTTATACTTATTGCTCATTTCAAATGATTGTAAAACACTCTAAAAGGTTTAGTTCAGAAATGAAATTTATGAAAGAAACTTCTCGTTTCTGAATCTGAAATAGCATCATTAGTAGGAATGAAACACTTTCCACAAATCAAGAGAGAAAACAATTCAACTTAATACAAAACATTTCCAACAATGCGACTGAATTGTTATTATGAAATTGAATTAAAGTCTCCTTTGTGTTTGTGGGAGCAGTGTCACATCTCATAATGATATGCATTTTGATGTAAAATTTCAATGATATATTAGTTTGCTTTTATGAACGTTCTGATGAAAAGGTAAATATTCATATCAGTACTTTCATTCCTGAAAGTTTACATTCATGATGTGTATTTCTTGTTTGATCTCAAGAACATCGAATGTAATAAATTGAGGATGGTATCACTGGAAATTATCACCCATGAAAACTTGAAACAACATAGGGCTAACAAGCATAATCTGAGAGGAAAAGACGACGATTTAGAGTTGAAAAGATTACCCAGTGCAGTTGAAATGTCGGGAATCTCACAATCTGTAGACAATGGTGTGTTCATATCAGAACCATGAACTGTACATCGCAAGGAGACGTTCATTTGATTATTGAAGAGAACACGGTGACCAAGCAGCATTTCCTGAGAACAATTTTCGTTTTTCAGACTAGTCTCATTGAAGACAACAGAGGATATATTATATTTCTCGATGGGAATAAAAGTAGAATCAGAATGACAAACTTCCAGGGACAGAGAAGTTGTTGATGGTTCCATTGTCTTTGCGCTACAGTTGATGAAATCATCTGTTCCATATTGATATTGAGGACGAAGGTGGAGAGTTATATCAGAGACGGGAGCTGAAAATGGAAAACAAAATACTATGGAAATACTTAAATTTCTTTGATATAACCAAGGTATGCTAACGAAAACATGGAAAAGAGGTGTGTCCAATTTACCTGAAAAGTTCAAAACTGTGCTCGCGCTTTCTGTAGCGATGTGTTTGTCTACCATATCTATGGAGCATGTGTACATCCCGGACAGAGAGCAAGCATCCTTCGAAGTTGCAAAATCCAAGACAAAGGAAACATTCACGAAATACGAATCTACACTCAAAGACGCATTTATTCGATTTTCATTCGAGGTTTTGCTGCTGTTTGTGACGCTTACGATTGTTTGAGAGATTAAAGATTCGTTTTGAAAGTCTAACCGAACAGCCTCCCATTCAAAACTGCTCACATTGAAATGACACAACAATTCTATCGTTGTTTGTATCATAATGACATGGCTCGAAGTATCCATTACAGCAACCACTGAAAAATACGGATAATATAGGTAAAGAATTTTTGTAGACTTTGAACGTCTTAGACAAAGCATTGCAAGAAACAAAAATCAGCAAAGAAAGCTCTCAAAGAAATAAAACATCTCTTATTACTAGAAAAAGTGATATGGTCGGTAACTCCCCAATTAAACCCATGAAGACAAATTCGAGATAATACCACCTTATACTTATTGCTCATTTCAAATGATTGTGAAACACTCTAAAAGGTTTAGTTCAGAAATGAAATTTATGAAAGAAACTTCTCGTTTCTGAATCTGAAATAGCATCATTAGTAGGAATGAAACACTTTCCACAAATCAAGAGAGAAAACAATTCAACTTAATACAAAACATTTCCAACAATGCGACTGAATTGTTATTATGAAATTGAATTAAAGTCTCCTTTGTGTTTGTGGGAGCAGTGTCACATCTCATAATGATATGCATTTTGATGTAAAATTTCAATGATATATTAGTTTGCTTTTATGAACGTTCTGATGAAAAGGTAAATATTCATATCAGTACTTTCATTCCTGAAAGTTTACATTCATGATGTGTATTTCTTGTTTGATCTCAAGAACATCGAATGTAATAAATTGAGGATGGTATCACTGGAAATTATCACCCATGAAAACTTGAAACAACATAGGGCTAACAAGCATAATCTGAGAGGAAAAGACGACGATTTAGAGTTGAAAAGATTACCCAGTGCAGTTGAAATGTCGGGAATCTCACAATCTGTAGACAATGGTGTGTTCATATCAGAACCATGAACTGTACATCGCAAGGAGACGTTCATTTGATTATTGAAGAGAACACGGTGACCAAGCAGCATTTCCTGAGAACAATTTTCGTTTTTCAGACTAGTCTCATTGAAGACAACAGAGGATATATTATATTTCTCGATGGGAATAAAAGTAGAATCAGAATGACAAACTTCCAGGGACAGAGAAGTTGTTGATGGTTCCATTGTCTTTGCGCTACAGTTGATGAAATCATCTGTTCCATATTGATATTGAGGACGAAGGTGGAGAGTTATATCAGAGACGGGAGCTGAAAATGGAAAACAAAATACTATGGAAATACTTAAATTTCTTTGATATAACCAAGGTATGCTAACGAAAACATGGAAAAGAGGTGTGTCCAATTTACCTGAAAAGTTCAAAACTGTGCTCGCGCTTTCTGTAGCGATGTGTTTGTCTACCATATCTATGGAGCATGTGTACATCCCGGACAGAGAGCAAGCATCCTTCGAAGTTGCAAAATCCAAGACAAAGGAAACATTCACGAAATACGAATCTACACTCAAAGACGCATTTATTCGATTTTCATTCGAGGTTTTGCTGCTGTTTGTGACGCTTACGATTGTTTGAGAGATTAAAGATTCGTTTTGAAAGTCTAACCGAACAGCCTCCCATTCAAAACTGCTCACATTGAAATGACACAACAATTCTATCGTTGTTTGTATCATAATGACATGGCTCGAAGTATCCATTACAGCAACCACTGAAAAATACGGATAATATAGGTAAAGAATTTTTGTAGACTTTGAACGTCTTAGACAAAGCATTGCAAGAAACAAAAATCAGCAAAGAAAGCTCTCAAAGAAATAAAACATCTCTTATTACTAGAAAAAGTGATATGGTCGGTAACTCCCCAATTAAACCCATGAAGACAAATTCGAGATAATACCACCTTATACTTATTGCTCATTTCAAATGATTGTGAAACACTCTAAAAGGTTTAGTTCAGAAATGAAATTTATGAAAGAAACTTCTCGTTTCTGAATCTGAAATAGCATCATTAGTAGGAATGAAACACTTTCCACAAATCAAGAGAGAAAACAATTCAACTTAATACAAAACATTTCCAACAATGCGACTGAATTGTTATTATGAAATTGAATTAAAGTCTCCTTTGTGTTTGTGGGAGCAGTGTCACATCTCATAATGATATGCATTTTGATGTAAAATTTCAATGATATATTAGTTTGCTTTTATGAACGTTCTGATGAAAAGGTAAATATTCATATCAGTACTTTCATTCCTGAAAGTTTACATTCATGATGTGTATTTCTTGTTTGATCTCAAGAACATCGAATGTAATAAATTGAGGATGGTATCACTGGAAATTATCACCCATGAAAACTTGAAACAACATAGGGCTAACAAGCATAATCTGAGAGGAAAAGACGACGATTTAGAGTTGAAAAGATTACCCAATGCAGTTGAAATGTCGGGAATCTCACAATCTGTAGACAATGGTGTGTTCATATCAGAACCATGAACTGTACATCGCAAGGAGACGTTCATTTGATTATTGAAGAGAACACGGTGACCAAGCAGCATTTCCTGAGAACAATTTTCGTTTTTCAGACTAGTCTCATTGAAGACAACAGAGGATATATTATATTTCTCGATGGGAATAAAAGTAGAATCAGAATGACAAACTTCCAGGGACAGAGTAGTTGTTGATGGTTCCATTGTCTTTGCGCTACAGTTGATGAAATCATCTGTTCCATATTGATATTGAGGACGAAGGTGGAGAGTTATATCAGAGACGGGAGCTGAAAATGGAAAACAAAATACTATGGAAATACTTAAATTTCTTTGATATAACCAAGGTATGCTAACGAAAACATGGAAAAGAGGTGTGTCCAATTTACCTGAAAAGTTCAAAACTGTGCTCGCGCTTTCTGTAGCGATGTGTTTGTCTACCATATCTATGGAGCATGTGTACATCCCGGACAGAGAGCAAGCATCCTTCGAAGTTGCAAAATCCAAGACAAAGGAAACATTCACGAAATACGAATCTACACTCAAAGACGCATTTATTCGATTTTCATTCGAGGTTTTGCTGCTGTTTGTGACGCTTACGATTGTTTGAGAGATTAAAGATTCGTTTTGAAAGTCTAACCGAACAGCCTCCCATTCAAAACTGCTCACATTGAAATGACACAACAATTCTATCGTTGTTTGTATCATAATGACATGGCTCGAAGTATCCATTACAGCAACCACTGAAAAATACGGATAATATAGGTAAAGAATTTTTGTAGACTTTGAACGTCTTAGACAAAGCATTGCAAGAAACAAAAATCAGCAAAGAAAGCTCTCAAAGAAATAAAACATCTCTTATTACTAGAAAAAGTGATATGGTCGGTAACTCCCCAATTAAACCCATGAAGACAAATTCGAGATAATACCACCTTATACTTATTGCTCATTTCAAATGATTGTGAAACACTCTAAAAGGTTTAGTTCAGAAATGAAATTTATGAAAGAAACTTCTCGTTTCTGAATCTGAAATAGCATCATTAGTAGGAATGAAACACTTTCCACAAATCAAGAGAGAAAACAATTCAACTTAATACAAAACATTTCCAACAATGCGACTGAATTGTTATTATGAAATTGAATTAAAGTCTCCTTTGTGTTTGTGGGAGCAGTGTCACATCTCATAATGATATGCATTTTGATGTAAAATTTCAATGATATATTAGTTTGCTTTTATGAACGTTCTGATGAAAAGGTAAATATTCATATCAGTACTTTCATTCCTGAAAGTTTACATTCATGATGTGTATTTCTTGTTTGATCTCAAGAACATCGAATGTAATAAATTGAGGATGGTATCACTGGAAATTATCACCCATGAAAACTTGAAACAACATAGGGCTAACAAGCATAATCTGAGAGGAAAAGACGACGATTTAGAGTTGAAAAGATTACCCAGTGCAGTTGAAATGTCGGGAATCTCACAATCTGTAGACAATGGTGTGTTCATATCAGAACCATGAACTGTACATCGCAAGGAGACGTTCATTTGATTATTGAAGAGAACACGGTGACCAAGCAGCATTTCCTGAGAACAATTTTCGTTTTTCAGACTAGTCTCATTGAAGACAACAGAGGATATATTATATTTCTCGATGGGAATAAAAGTAGAATCAGAATGACAAACTTCCAGGGACAGAGAAGTTGTTGATGGTTCCATTGTCTTTGCGCTACAGTTGATGAAATCATCTGTTCCATATTGATATTGAGGACGAAGGTGGAGAGTTATATCAGAGACGGGAGCTGAAAATGGAAAACAAAATACTATGGAAATACTTAAATTTCTTTGATATAACCAAGGTATGCTAACGAAAACATGGAAAAGAGGTGTGTCCAATTTACCTGAAAAGTTCAAAACTGTGCTCGCGCTTTCTGTAGCGATGTGTTTGTCTACCATATCTATGGAGCATGTGTACATCCCGGACAGAGAGCAAGCATCCTTCGAAGTTGCAAAATCCAAGACAAAGGAAACATTCACGAAATACGAATCTACACTCAAAGACGCATTTATTCGATTTTCATTCGAGGTTTTGCTGCTGTTTGTGACGCTTACGATTGTTTGAGAGATTAAAGATTCGTTTTGAAAGTCTAACCGAACAGCCTCCCATTCAAAACTGCTCACATTGAAATGACACAACAATTCTATCGTTGTTTGTATCATAATGACATGGCTCGAAGTATCCATTACAGCAACCACTGAAAAATACGGATAATATAGGTAAAGAATTTTTGTAGACTTTGAACGTCTTAGACAAAGCATTGCAAGAAACAAAAATCAGCAAAGAAAGCTCTCAAAGAAATAAAACATCTCTTATTACTAGAAAAAGTGATATGGTCGGTAACTCCCCAGTTAAACCCATGAAGACAAATTCGAGATAATACCACCTTATACTTATTGCTCATTTCAAATGATTGTAAAACACTCTAAAAGGTTTAGTTCAGAAATGAAATTTATGAAAGAAACTTCTCGTTTCTGAATCTGAAATAGCATCATTAGTAGGAATGAAACACTTTCCACAAATCAAGAGAGAAAACAATTCAACTTAATACAAAACATTTCCAACAATGCGACTGAATTGTTATTATGAAATTGAATTAAAGTCTCCTTTGTGTTTGTGGGAGCAGTGTCACATCTCATAATGATATGCATTTTGATGTAAAATTTCAATGATATATTAGTTTGCTTTTATGAACGTTCTGATGAAAAGGTAAATATTCATATCAGTACTTTCATTCCTGAAAGTTTACATTCATGATGTGTATTTCTTGTTTGATCTCAAGAACATCGAATGTAATAAATTGAGGATGGTATCACTGGAAATTATCACCCATGAAAACTTGAAACAACATAGGGCTAACAAGCATAATCTGAGAGGAAAAGACGACGATTTAGAGTTGAAAAGATTACCCAATGCAGTTGAAATGTCGGGAATCTCACAATCTGTAGACAATGGTGTGTTCATATCAGAACCATGAACTGTACATCGCAAGGAGACGTTCATTTGATTATTGAAGAGAACACGGTGACCAAGCAGCATTTCCAGAGAACAATTTTCGTTTTTCAGACTAGTCTCATTGAAGACAACAGAGGATATATTATATTTCTCGATGGGAATAAAAGTAGAATCAGAATGACAAACTTCCAGGGACAGAGAAGTTGTTGATGGTTCCATTGTCTTTGCGCTACAGTTGATGAAATCATCTGTTCCATATTGATATTGAGGACGAAGGTGGAGAGTTATATCAGAGACGGGAGCTGAAAAATTGAAAACAAAATACTATGGAAATACTTCAGAGAGAATGTCACGAATCATCAAGCTTCAGATGGAAACTTAAATTTTTTTCCTCCTGTTTTCTTTTATTGGTTGTAAAAAGTCTTCATAGTACACAACTTTTACATATATGAAAATGATGTTTGACCAACAAAACTATTATTTTTTTCCCTTGCTATGTGTTGCCATGGAAACCATCCTAAGTTTAGAAAAATAGCTTCAATTTTAACATTTTTGGAAGAATATTTTAACAAAACGAATACTGATATCATCTACAACAGACTTTATGCTAATTATTATAGATATGTAGTATACAAAAAAGTTTAAAAGCAAATCTAAATACCTAGGAATCTGTTGCCATGGCAACACAAATATTGTACAGTTTTACAATTTGAAAAATTGAAAATTACCTCTCAAGTTTAAACTTATATATATAAAATCTACAACAAGCTGAGCATTAAAATGAATTTGATTCCTGCACAATACATGTTGATTTTCAAGAATGACATATAAAATTGAGAAGCATTTTTATTGTTTTTGTGGAAAAAACGGTTAAATTTTATGTTTTTACTCTTAAAAAATGTTAAAAATACACAGCAAATTTTAAGGAAAACTTTCAATTTCTTCCAAATTGATAATTTTTAAATGTATATTTGCAATTATACTCTTGCGTTATCAATAAATATAGTGATATTATGAGATAAAAATCCTGTAATGTGCCCATAGCAACCAATTTCACTGCATAACAACCAAGGCATTTTCAAGAGAATGTGTCAAAAAATAAAGGAGAACATGTATTTAGATATAAAAAATTAGATAAAAAAGTTTTATTTCACTTAGGAAATAATAAAACATACTTAAATTTCAGCATCAATCATATTCTGTGCATAGCAACTAAATGATGTCCATAGCAACAGAGCTGAACAGACATTTTGTTATTTATGAATTATCAAAACCTATTGGAGACACTCCAATGGACTATTGTAGTTATGAGAATTCAAACAAATAATCTAGTAGTGTGCATCCCTAGTTGCAATATTTATGCAATTTTCGTCTGATACCTTCATTATCTTGGTCAATCATAATTATGATTGACCAACAGAACTATTATCTTTCCTCTTATTATCTGTTACCATGGAAACAACAGTAAAATTAGAAAAAACTGCTTCAATCTTAACAATTTTCTAAATACATGTATGTTTAAACAAAACGTATATCGCTATCAAATTCAGCAGAGTATGAACTTATTATTAAAGGTATGTATTATACAAGAAAATATAAACGCAGATCTAAATACCTTGGATCTGTTGCCATGGCAACACAAACTTGTATAGTTTTACAGTTTAAAAATTTGAAAATTACCTCTCTAGTTTAAACTTGTATATATCTAATCTGCAACAAGTTGAGCATTAAATTGAAACTGAATCATTCAAAACAGAGGTGATCTACAAGAATGACATATAAAATTGAGAGACATTTTTATTTTTTTGTAGAAAAAAGATTAAATTTTAAGGTTTTACACCAAATAAAGGTTAAAAACACACATCAATTTTTAAGGGAAAAACCTTCAATTTCTTCCATGTTGATACTATTTCATGTATATTTGCTAATATTCTCTTGCAACATCAATAAATAAAGTGATATAATGTTGAAATAATTATGTTATGTGCCCTTAACAACCAATTTTACTGCATAGTCACCAATCTATTTTCAAAACACTGACAAAAAAATGAAGGAGAATATGCATTTATATACAGAAAACAAGATATCTAAGCTTCATCTCACTTATGACTTATAAAACATATTCAATTTTCTGCATCAGTTATGTAATTCGTGTATAGCAACCAAATGAGGTCCACTGCAACAGAGCTGAACAGACATTTTGTAATCCTTAAATTATCAAAAAATGTTGGTAACACTCCAGTGAACTATTTATGAAAATTCAAACAAAAGTATGTTCAATTTATTTATGAGAATTCTTTTCTTTCTTTTTACATAATTTGTCTTGAATTCATTATTTCTCTTCTTTTAATTGAGTAGTCATTCCTCATTCGATGAAAGCTTTAATCCATTTATTTCTCATCTGTTTCTTGATAGGAAAATGCCCATGTCACAGCATTCAAAGAAATCATCTCAAACTGTACTTTTTGGAACATAACCAGAGAGACCCATAATGCTAGTGGCTTCTGTCATCTCACTTCTCTCACTCATGTCTGTGTCTTGACTCCCTGGCAATCACAGTACTAGTCTCTCAAGAAAATCTGACTGCTGTGTAAAAACTTAAAAAATTAAAACAATATTACACAAAGTTGTCCAAAATATTTCCTTAAATGGAGAAAAAATGACAATCTCAAAGGATAGTTTATTCCTTTAATCTGAGTAAAATTAAAATATTACCTTGGGTTCAAATTAGCAATTTATGAATTAAAAGAAAAAAATTAATAAGAAGAGTTCCATAGGTCACACTGCTCACTTAAGCCACCTAAGCAATGCTATTATTTTTTAGAAGTTTTTGAAAAACATTGCAATCTATATTCCCATGAAACATTCATGTTCTTAATGGGGCTGTACCCTAGCATCAAGAGGCCATGACTTATGCATACTTGAATCCACTCACAACAAATGCATATGCTGGATAGCAATATGACTTATGTAGCCAATCTGTATAATGTAAAATTTGCTTCCAGATTAGGCAGATTTTAGCCCCCCTCAACCCAGCTTGTATCTACAAGACTTGGGAATTTTGATTTTCTCATGAAATATATTGCACACCATTTATAATTTTGCTTGTTATTGGCACACTAGGATACAATGAGTTCATTTAAGAAATGAATTCAACTTTTGATAATTCATAAGGACATGAATTAGGACGCTTCACACAATTTATTTTAAGAAATGTGATTTGAACAAATTTAAATCTACATACCTGAAGATGCTTCCATATCAGTATGACTGATCAAGGCCTTGCTGTTTTAGAGAAGATGATGTTTAAAGATTTTTCCTATATATATCCCTATGTAAGACTTTGATTGCCCTTGTTGATCCCATCCTACCCCAAAAGGTAAAGATTTGAACAGAGCTGGATCTACACTATATCTGTTTATTTTAAAGATGACACTAAATTTTCACTAGGTTTTCTCCCTCTTGAAAGATTGTATGGCCTTTCTATAAATAAACTTGGATTTCCTTAACCCAGGGATGCTATGTCAGGGTTCGAAATTCACTATATACAACTCGCAAAACGCGAGTTAGAATTCCCAAACTGCGAGTTAAAAATTAGGTAACTCGCAAAAACTTGCGAGTTGAGTTTTTTTGCATTGAAACTGTAGCAAAATTATATAATATGACAGAACACAATACTTTTGGTTTAAATCAGTAATTTAAATAAAAGTTACACTGTAGTTGTATTTTGTGTATTGTACAATAGTTACTTTTTCCTTAAGTTACATGTATTTAATTTATATAAATTTAACTTTACATAAAAATTGCGAGTAGTCTTATTAAATTTTGAGTTCACTTTGTTGGTACTCGCAATTATTTGCGAGTTGTAATTTTAGGGGGTTTCTAACCCTGTATGTAACACTTTTGGTTGAAATTGGCCTAGTGGTTCTGGAGAGGAAGTCAAAAAGTTTACAATTGGACAGACAGACGAACACTGAACAAATGTGACCACTTGAGCTTACAGCTCAGGTGAGCTAAAGGGTGCAAATGAAAAAAACTCAATAATTATTATACATGGTAATATACATACATTATCTTAAGATCCATCTGTGCCTAATATAACTGATAGTTTCAATAGATAATTTCTTCATTCTCTCTATGAAAGTATTAAAAAAATATAATTATAGGTTTGACCTTGAAATTATGCCTGTTTTTATACTGACTTTTCGGTGAATGTCAAAATGTTATGACACAAATCCATTTATCTTGCAAACTGAGAAATATTGGAGGAAATAAAATACATTTAAGCAACATGTTTTTTTTTTAAATGGACAGAGGGAATTAAAATTCAGTGATCACTATTGGAAGGTTTTACATGCATGGGCATGTACATTATGATGCAGTATTGTACTGTGGAAATATTAATTTTACGGAGTTTTATAAATTTTAACAATGCCACACTTCTTCAACCATGAAATTAAATATTTTTTCTCAAACCTTGAAAATTTGACCCCTCAAAATTAAAAAATATATATTTTACAGTATTTATTTTCTTCTGATCAGAGACATAAACAACAAATAAATAAATAATGATTTATATTTCTTTTCTTATTTGATAAGTCTTTCTATTTAAAAATAAATGACTGCTTATACCAGTGAATAACTGCAAAAGGCTAAATTGGTTTTTTTTCTAGATGCTAGCAGCATTTTTTAAATATTCTGTTGAATCTGTAGAGTGTAGAGTACATGTATCTGCATGTAGAGCTACCCTGTATAATTTACATGAAGTTCTGTACTGCTGCTAACAAGAGTTTTTCTTGGCTTTTGTAGAGTAAAAAGGGAAAGAATATAGAAATACATTTATAATACATTCATGCATTATCTTTTATCTGAAAATAAATCAGTTTGACACTGTCATCTTGCAAAATTAATCAATGTATTGCAATTTGCAATTTCCATACATGTGCAAATCTGATCTATAGACTTTCATAGCAAAAGTAACAGTAAAATGACCTTTGCCGAGGAAACAAGGATCCCTCTTATATTGGTAAGCATAGTAATATATATGAAGGAACTGACTTGAGAGAGTATCTTTTCATAACACCCCCACCCCCCCAAATCCTGAAATTGAAAAGGTTTTTCAGTGATTTTTAGTTTTTTTTACTTGCATGTCAAAATTTTTATGTTTGGCATCTGTTAAAGTTAATGTGAAACACCCCACCCCCACTCCATCCACCGCAAAAAAAAAAAATCTTTGATCCACAACCTGAATTTTTTGTTTATGTGTTTTTTTAATGTATTTATACAAATTAATGTTTCGCTTTAAGGAA